AGCACTTAGATCAGCAGTACTTTCATAGCACTTAGATCAGCAGTACTTTCATAGCACTTAGATTAGCTGTACTTTCATAGCACTTAGATCAGTTGTACTTTCATAGTACTTAGATCAGTTGTACATTCATAGCACTTAGATCAGCAGTACTTTCATAGCACTTAGATCAGTAGTACTTTCATAGCACCTAGATCAGTAGTACTTTCATAGCACTTAGATCAGTTGTACTTTCATAGCACTTAGATCAGTTGTACATTCATAGCACTTAGATCAGTTGTACTTTCATAGAACTTAGATCAGTTGTACTTTCATAGCACTTAGATCAGTTGTACTTTCATAGCACTTAGAAAATATCTTATCTTCAACTGACTTCCACTAATATTCTTTCATAACTTTTATTTCCAGATACCACGATCTCCGAGTGTGTCGCTGCGATCGTATCACAGTTTTAAAATTATTTTTAAATAAAAATATATGCATTACGTTTGATTGTATTTCCGGTAACGAACTGAAATAATCAAATAATAAAGATATCAGATCTTCGACTCCTTGTCTATTTCTAGCTTGTTGAACTAAAGAAAAATCCGAGTATTGGAGTGAGGCGCGTGAGAGCCACATTGAAGCCCGTCAAGAAGTCCAGAAGAGATTCGGAAGAGTTTGAACTACACAGTCAAATTCGACGTCTCCAAGACGACAATTACAGATACAGGCAAAAGCTAGAAGAGGTACCACTAAGTGACTTCTAATTTAGACCAACAAAAAACTACTTTCTCGTATATTTCATTAAATGAACCTTAATACAATCTCCATCGTTCTTCGATCGTCTTGATGGAGTTTGGGAACAAAGGCAAAAGGTGTATAATTATAACATCAAGTTGTACAGATTAAAATTACGTATGTATTTATGACATAAATTAGAAAGAACCCTTGTTGCTATTCGAGGTTTACTTTAAACTCATTTTATATTCAACTTTAAGAACTTTTTAACGAATACATAATACAGTGGTAAAAATGATAAATATCAGATTTTTTATTTATTAAATAACGTATATTAATTGACTCAATCCTTTCTCCTATGTGGAGAGAATCAATTGTGGTTAATATCTTAGATTGAAGACATTTCTGTAGACAGAAATGTCTTCAAACTGAGATAATACTTCCTGTTTACTGCTAAATAGCAGTAAACAGGAAGTATTATCTCAATTTGAAAACGTTTCTGTAATAGCAGTAGACAGGAAGTATTATTTCAGTTTGAAGACATTTCTGTAATAGCAGTAAACAAGAAGTATTATCTCACAGGAAGTATTATTTCAGTTCAATGTGTATTGTTGTAAGACCCGAGGTTTTAAACACCAAATCGTACATTGAAATAAGAGAATACTTTAAAAATTAATGATTTATAGTTAAGGCAGTTATTTATTTTGACATCGCGCACTATTATTGAAACTTGATTATAATTTCGGAAATACGTATATACACATTACTGATAATGCTGTAAAGAGTTTTACTTCTGTTATCACACTTTTACAGAATATTACATAACAAATACCAATGTCTCCTAGATAAATATTGAACTGCAAGCTTTGATGGCAAACTTGAAAGATATGGATGAGCCAGTGATCATAATCAGCCACGGAGTGACGTCACCAATCCCAGAAGCCTCTTCTGATGGTAACTGTGAAGACATCCAAGGTTCGTGTTTATAGACATTCCAAGATATCTGAAGTTCTGAAAGTTTTTCACCAAGTTTTGCCAATACTTCTTGTATAAGAAGGAGCTCATATTAAAAATTGGTGAGCCAATACTTCCTGTATAAGAAGGAGCTTATATTAAAACTTGATGAGCCAATACTTCTTGTATAAGAAGGAGCTCATATTAAAACTTGGTGAGCCAATACTTCCTGTATAAGAAGGAGCTTATATTAAAACTTGGTGAGCCAATAGTTTATAGCATTACTAGAATATAGGTTTGAATGGGATGTAAAACTTCAACATAAACGGCACTCTAATTAAACTGGAGTTTAGACGTTTATAACGAAGTAACGTTCAAAATATTTATAACACAGATTTGTAGGGATACAAAGCATGAACAGCGTTCAGACACGTTATTAACATGGATTTGTAGAGGTAGCAAACAGGAACAGCGTTCAGACACGTTATTAACATGGATTTGTACAGGTAACAAACAGGAAAAGCGTTCAGACACGTAATAAACATGGATTTGTACAGGCAGCAAACATAAACAGTGTTCAGGCACGTTATTAACATGGAGTTGTAGAGGTAGCAGACATGGTTATGTTTATCATGGCCAGCATTCTCCAGCGATTAGTGTTAAGTGATGTCTATCAAAGTGGAAATGCAGCATTTTGGGGAGGGAATCATGAACGACTAGTCCATCATTTTGTTTATCACATTCTGACCTGTTTAATTTAACAATCTTGAACTATAGAAACTGTACGTATAAACTGACTGCAGAGTGACACGAGTTATCCACACAGTGATCGTGAAATGATTTCGTAAGGTTATTTGTGATTAAAATTAAAATGTTCTTTAAACTACATTTTTTTTATGTCTCCATTAATCAAACGACTCGCAGCATTGCGTTTGTTTGTTCTTATAACAATATATTATCTCCTAAACAGTCATTGTCCCCAATATTCGCCAAGATAGAGAAATCACAGTTATTTCCAGCTCTTCATCCCCAGAAGAAGAAGAACTGGAAGAAGACGTCGAGGAGAAACATCCTTTCAGGTAAGATATCTATTAAACAAGATATCCTTCTTTGGATTAACCAAACTATACACTGAGATCCTGAGTGATTAGGGTTAACCAAACTATACACTGAGATTCTGAGTGAACCCTAATCACTCAAAATCTCAGTGTATAGTTTGGTTAACCCTACTCACTCAGAATTTCAGTGTATATTTTGGTTAACCCTACTCACTTAGAATCTCATTGTATATTTTAGTTAACCCTACTTCCTGAGTGATTAGGGTTAACCAAACTATACACTGAGATTCTGAGTG